AAAATATAGGGCATGGGTTTAATATGTTGGGCCCGTTTGTTTTCCACCCGTACCTAGCCCGACCCATATTATTGACGAGTTATATGGGTAAACCCTTGGGTGCCCCTTTTTGTTCAAATCTAAACCCTAACCCAGTACAATAATACTTTGCGTACTAACAGATTTTACTAATCAATGTACTAACCTAAAGCATAGTACGAGTACCATAAGTATAGTATGGGTACCATATGTAATTTTAATAAAGGTTAGTAAGATGGTTAGTACAATCCGTGAGTACGCATAGCATTACCCAACCCAATAAGTCAGTAACCCTAAGCTAAGTCCCCAACTCTAAAACAAACTAACATTCTCTTCTCTCTCGCCTCTGAATCTCTCATCACTGATTCATTCTCTCAATCTCTCATCTCATCACTCTGTTCAGTAGACTCTCATCACTGTCATCAGTCATTACTTTAGTGTTCTCATCCGTGAACCATGATCCCATTCCCAGACCCACCGTCGTTGATCGCTGTCACTCATCCTCGTCGGCTCATCATCTCCTCTCTCTGTCGTCGTCGGGCGTCGGCTCGTCATCTCCTGTCTCTCTCTGTCGCAAGACTGGCAGCTCTCCTTCACACCATTGCAGTCGTAGATCAGTGAGTTGGGTTCCTCTGATTTGTTTTTCTTAATGTTACCTTAAATAATTTCTTAGAATGATTATCTGATCTAGATAGTTAGATTTTCTTGGAACGATTATCTGATAGTGATTATAAATCTTTAAATCTAATGTTTTGGTTGTTTAATGAATTGCTTTATATTCCATCATTTATATAAATCTTCTTTGAAGATAAAAGAGTCTTCAATAGATTGCATCATGTATATTAGTTGGGTTTGAAGAGTTGAAAAGTTTGAAGGTTGTTCTATGTACCTAGTTGATGGGTTTTGCAAGTGGGGTTTACTTAAATGTATAAGAGATGAATGTTGTGGTTGAATAATAAGCTTACGGCGAGGGATGTATGTAATATATGGGTATAAGGTTCCCTGGTGTTATGATTTCAAAGAACATGCCAACCTTCAAAACTGGATTTCAGTGAAGAGGCAAAAAGATTTTGCTGGTAAAGTTTGGTAAAATCTGTATTGTCAATTCATTTATATTTACCAAACTTATATTAGAGAATTGGGTTCTTTGAATGTTCTAGAATTTGAATAAGTCAAGACTAGTCTTCTAATTCTTAACACATATTATGTTTTTTGTGGAAGACCGAGTGAAGAATTTGGCATGAATTTTTGTCTCTAAATTTTTTATGTTTGGCTAATTTATTTAACCTCTAATTTTCCACCTTTATCAGGGCTTTCTAAGCTGAAGGAGTTACAAATTTCCAACTGTAACATTACAGATTTCGGAATTTCTTATTTAAGAGGTATTTTGCAGTTTGCTTTGTTTAATTATTTTTTAGTTTTATTTTCATCTTTGAAGATCATGAGCATTAGTGTTTGTAAGGGTATTTTAGAAAATTTATTTCTTATAAATAATATGTACTGAGATCAAGGAAAGTTTGTGGTTTATACACTGCTTTTTGCATACTTCTCCTTGTAATCTAAATCCTAACATGATATCCATGCTAAGTTGACTAGTAGTCTTTTGTTCAAGTTCCTTTATTATTGAGATGGCAAAGCCTGATCCTAACAGTGTGACCTGGTCTACTACAGACCTGACATTCATTTTCCACTTACGTGACTAATTGGATGCAACCATTTTGTGTTCATTTTTACCCCATTATTGATATTTATGTGTGCGTGATGCAGGTTGCGGGGTAGATTATCAGATTGCTGATATAAAGGTAACACTGGTACAGGTTATAACATGAAATGGTTTTCATTCAGTAAAGTTGATGGTTCTTTTCTTCATTACTTTTCATTTATTTATATTAGGGTAGAGGAACTCAGTGACATTAGTAGATTATGAGAGTTAAATTTGTAATATGAATGAGGAAATGTAGTTTGCAACCTGGGACGCAATGATTTCAAGTAATGGATTGTTAAATATGTTATTGACCATAAACTCCTTCACATGGTTATTCATAGCCAGAAGGTCAAAATGAGAAGTATTTGCAGCTCAATTTCAGATAAGGCATCTAAATTTCATTATGAAGCTTGGTTGATAGTGTAATACTAAGAATATTTTGTCCTGTTTTGTTGCAGGTGAATGTTATGTTGTGGATGGCCAAGTATTATTGTAGTTTATTGAGAGGTGTTAATGTCACATGTTTGTGAGGTGTAGTAGAAGAGGATTGTAGTATGTGTCTGTGATTTTATTTATACCTCTATATAGTTAATTTGATGAGGTATGTATACCTATTTTTTATTGTTATTGTGATTGTACTCATGACATGATTGACAGTAATAAAGAGTTGAAGAATAAATCCGTATATTTGAATTAGCAAATTGAATGAGTAGGTCGTGGATGGCTCAAGGAAGAATTGTGATGTTATTACTCCAACTGTGAATGGTAAGCTTAAAAGTAATTAAGGAGAGAAACAACCTTGCTGTATAGAGAACTTAAGAATTTGTGGTTGCAAAGCAACGGAAGTTGGTACACCCGTTCCCGTTCCTTCAATGTTGTGTTCATGCATGGTTTCTGCTTATTGGGTTGTTGAATTTAATCCACATACTAAATTTAATAAACCCACATTTATTTTGGTTCCTATTTGTTTATATTCTAAATTTAATTGAATTGAATTTAGAGTAGTTGATTTAGGGGGTGTAAATGTAAAAAATTAAAACTGTAAAAATTTTAGGGGTGTAACTGTTATAATTGAAAACTATTAGAGGTGAAACTGTAAAAACTAAAACCTAAAAAGATAAAAAATTGGTACCCATGAGTCCACTTATACTTTGACTCGTATTGGGTCCGTATCCGTTTGATTCGTACCTGTAAAGACCCGACCCACCCACCCCTTTTGCCATACCTAGGTGGCATCGCTCAAAAGTCAAAACAATAACAGGATGATGTAGACGTCATTCGGCATCTAATATTTTAGATGTACTCATAAAATATTGACCATGCATATGCATTTTAGCTTTGAAATGACATTTGGTTTCAATCTTCCTTTCTGTTGATGATTGATGGTTGAAATTCCGGTGACTAAATGGATCCCTTACTATCGTCAGAAACAAGTAGATGCCCCCGTGTCAGAACTCTGAAGGTGAAGGTGGGGGAGTTGCAGTCTTTCATTTCTCTAGAAAAAAGTGGAATCTGATTCAGCTCTAATTAGTCTTGTCACTTGGGAATATCTATTTACTCTTATTCTTTCTAAAAATCATGTATTCTCCGCTAATCTTATCCAGGATTTTTGTGTATCAGTCATGGAAGATCAAGATAATAAATGATGGATTTTCCATACCAAGTTAAAGAGTTGTGAATGGGATAAGGGACAATGGGACGTATAAATCTAATGTTGCTTTCAGACTTTTCATTTTTTTTTCTTTTATGATTAAAGTATTTAAACTAATTTATGTGTACTTCAATTAATCTATTGAGATTTTGAAACTATTGACATCAATTAGGTACGAACTCCAGTGGATATCTCTATTGACAACTGTAGAGAGAACTTAAGAGACCACTTCTATTAACAACTATAAAGAACCAAATTCGGGATATTATGTTAGGTCATTCTCTGACTCTTTTACCATTCAAATTTAGAAAATCATGTTAAATCTTCTTCTACTTTTTTATCATCAAACCATAGTTATCTTTTTTTTAATTTCGTTTCTTTACTGACAATTTTTTTTTTTTTTAAATCTTTCAGGAGTTTCACGAATTATATTTCAATGAAGCAATTATTGGTTTTTCTATCAATTATTGACAATGGGAAGATTACGATTGCAGGGTGGGAGATTGATTGAATGAAAGGTGAAATACTGTTTCGTTAAGTGGAGGAGAAATTAGCCTCGTACGTATATGACTCATCAATCCAATCCTTACATGTAAGTCATTTGTCATTTACCACAGAGAGTCAACTCTTATCAGAATTCTCTTTAAATGCTTCAAATAATTTCACAATCAAAGGCAAAACTTCCTTTCAAAGACAAGAGGCATCGATTTTTTTTTTTTTATTATTTTTTTTTTTTTTTGGTGTGAGCATCTTTTACAGCATGAAATATTCTGTTTTCCCAATATTCACTTTTTTTGTAAGTTGAGCATAATAACATTAGAGTGGTTGGAAAATTGAGGCATTGATCCAATGCAGATGAAAGAATATGGCCTGGAATTTGTATCAACTTAACTCTTTTGATGACTATGGAATTTGATTCCAGCTAAATGACCATGAAAACTGTTTAATTTTCAGGTTTTATTATGTTTTGAAGTACTTGAACATCCATACCAATTATGTAATAAGAATTCATCCATTATGAAAATAATCATGAGAAAAGAATGTTTTCATTTTCTTTGAAACCAAACAAGAGAAACGAGATAAGTAATTGTACTTTTTCCTTGAGCGCTGTAAATGCTTGAACATGGCTGACTAAAGAAATTTGTAATTTGTCAGACAGTCAAAACAATTTAATTCTTCTGGTCTGATGCCCATGGAAAGTACTGGAGTTAAAAGATGATATCATGAAGTCTGGTCTGATGCCCATGGAAAGTACTGGAGTTAAAAGATGATATCATGAAGTCATAAAGTCCCAATTGGTTAGTATGAAAAAAAAAAAAAAAAAAAAAATTCTTCCAAACGAGTGAAAATAAATGCAAGCAGTTGAAATCTGTCACTAAATTCACTGATGAGTCTGAACATAACCTCCAACTGTCTAATAAAATGCTTTAATTCCTAACCCCAAACTCATCACCTACCAATATTTGATAACTTTTTGCAGAACCCTCTGATAATTTAGTACTTCTGGTATAATTTTCTACACTTAATGCAAACACACCACACACACACACACAAAAGATACGCATAGAAATAGCAATATAGAGGAGCCCCAAAGTATAAGAGTTACATTATATCACAGGAGAAAAGTAAGCCAAAATGAATTGTGGATTGAGAAGAATATTGAGAGAACATATATATGATATAGAGGAAAACTAAGTCTAAGTAGAATGAAAGAAGCCATGGAACTTGAAAAAGGGGGGAAGGCTTAAGGCTTAAGCTCCTGGGTGTAAATGTAGTCCAAATGAGCCTCTGAAATTAGTCTTCTCTTCAAACATTCTTCATCACCATTCTCACATGCCTCTATGCCCATTAGATTCTGCATGTATTCCCCAATGAAGCAAAATGAGTTTTTTTTTTTTTTTTTTTTAATCTCAGATCAAATATTAGATGTACTAAAATTGGCTAAAAAAACTAACATGCATGGACTCACTGACCTCCACCTGTTCAGTAGAAACTTCACTAGCAATTTCCTTCACCTTTACCTCCTCTAGTCCTGTAAAAGAGAGAAAAATCTTAGTTACTGAAGATAAACAACTGAAAGAAAGAAGAACAACTAGCATTTATTTGGTTACCTTGTTTGTGCAGTATGAAACGGGCAGATGTGTTTGAGGAGAAAATAAGAAGGATCAGGATTATAAGAGCAGAAAAACAAAGGTTTTGCTTCATAATATCTGCCTAAGACCACACAATATATTAATCACAGAGAGAGAGAGATAGAAAAAGAAAGAGAAAGAGAAAGAGAGATTAGAGAGTGTTGGAAGTTGGGGTGTGGAAGAAGGAGAAGGTGGATATAAATACATGCAATTGCAAAAGAAAGAAAGCAGAAGAGAAAAACTAATTAATTAGTGACCTAAAGGCTTCCAAACAAGGCAATTAGAGTGCTGTATTGTGTTGTGTGGACCAACATTTTTAAAACCATGTTTGAATGACAAGACTAATAAATTTTCATGAGCAGCTAATGCTAAAGCTTTATTTACTGTCTGCAATAGTCATGGTGGTGGTCCTGCTCAAGTCCAAACAATTTCTTTCAAAAATCAATGTAATAGTGGTTGACAGTCTCATCAAGTCAACCTTTTGGACATGCCACAGCCTCAGCCACAGCCTCGGACAGCTGTTGCCCATCATCACATGTTTTATCTTACCTTTAACATAAACTCACTGACACCTATCATCGTTTTTAGCCTCTGGTTTAGACATTATACAAAAGCATACCATACTTTTGTTCTTTGGTCTGTAAAGTTAACACTAAATTATTAAACCCTATTTCAACAATTGCATCCCACATGTAAGCAACAGGGTATGAGTGGCATATATTTGAATGACTTCTGGAATTATTTTTTGATTAATTGAAGATTATGCTTCTCTTTTTAACAATTTGAATCTTTCATTAATTACTTACTATACTTAAGAGTCAAGGAACTGTTTTTAAATTGTTGGGGTTGGATTCTGCAATATTCAAAGACAAGATTGTTATTGCATGCTATTCTTCTCTTGAGAATTGAGTTAGAATATTGAAAGATGGTGTCTGCTAGTGACAGACAAATTTGATTGGGAAACATAATAATAATTAAACTCCATGAGAGGTCTTTGGATCATATCTGACAGTGGCATTGAAAGTGATAATGTCATGCTTTGAGTAATATAATATTAATATTTGTTCAATCCAAGACTATGCTTTTGAAAATAATTAAATTTTGAATGATAATATAAACTGATGGTGGGTGGGCATATATGTATTCTCTTCTATGCAATTTATTCAAATTGACCTAAATAGAGATATTGCATGACTTTTAGGGTGGATAGATTTGACATCTCAGTATATTGCTGTGCTTAATTGAAAGGGAAATCTCAGAAATATCATTGCATTTCAATTTGTTATAGAAATTGATTGAACAAGTAAATCCAAAACTTAAACATGTATAAATATTGACATGTCCTTTTCATATTTGTCCATGTTCTTGCTGATAGATTCTATCTTTTACAGACTTCTGTCATACATCTATGACATGCATTTATCTATACAAAATTTTTCCATCATTTTTACTTCCTTCTTGAATTGGAACCAGGAAATTGAAATCCAAATGCACCATCGGGTTCTGAATAAAAATCCAGCAATAGTATTTTTCTGAATTCCATATAATGGCCCCCCAGATTGAAGTGTTGTATAATTGAGGAATATAATTATTGTGTTGATAGGAAGAGTCTCTCATGCTTTATGCTTTTTACAATTTCTTTTCCGTTGTGATACACGCCGAGGACCCATCTGGCTTGACTGTTGTATTGGTGGGTGCGATTCTTTCAGAAAGATATTCCACTCCTCCTTGTCTTCTTCTGCAAATTTTACTCTTTACAGCATCAAGTTCAAGTAAGGACAATACGCAATAGTGTTTGTACTTTGTAGAATTGATTATATATATGTCCTTTACTTTCTTTTCTCTTTTTAATTGTTTTTGTCTGTCTCAATTACTAGGTTTTGATGAGCAGCACAACCTAGCAGCTAGAACCATGGTAATTTAGGAGCTTATGGAGTTGTTTTATATGAACAAACTGGCCGTGAATCTTAAACAATACTACAATAGTGTTATGGCACTGTTTCTAGCTTAAAACCTATGTTAATATAACAAATATATACTATCACTACTAATAACATGAGTAAATGACTTTTTTCCACACAAATAATGACTTAACGATACTTTCTCACTCAAAGACTTTTAAAATAATATTTTATTATTTAAATTTATATTTCGTTTCTGATGCTGACATCGTTATGACCCTACACCACCACCATTCTCTTCTATGATCATCACTTACTAAAACCGCTCAAACCCTACCCTGGTCAACCCCACTAATCGTTGGCAATCGAGTGATTAGGGTTTGCACAACCACCTCTCCCAAATCAAATTCTAATCAATTTCAAACACCAAAATCCAATCTTCTATCACCAAAAGACTCATCAATCTCCCTTCTTCAAAAGCCTTAACAGTCTGGACCAGATTTATTTTTTAATCGTTGTCAAAATATAAATTTAGATAATAAAGTGATATTTTAAAAGTCTGTAGATGAGCAAGTGTCATTAAACTATTATTTGGATAAGAAAAAGTTTCGTTAACTCTAATAACATCAACATAAAATCAAGTTTTCTTTTATTATTTACTTTAAAAATCTGTGAGCCCAAGACAGAAATGTTTGTTAATAGATGAATAGATTAAAATTGTAAATTTGAAGGGGAATATTTCACATAAACTTTATAATATAACCTAGTCTTGGGATCTCGTAATTAAAAAGAGAAGGTAAGCTGGCTATTAGGAGTATGTAATAAGATAGAAGAATAATTTGGCAATCCGAGAAAAGAAAAGGCTTTTTTCAATTGGCCTTTTTTTCGCTTTAGAGCTTTGTCAGGAGACACCAGAATCAATAATATACCCACGCAACTCCTAACTTCAATGCATCTCAACTTTTCATTATTTTTCATCAAAGAACGTAAACCATTAAAAATTTAATTGCTTTTAAGATTCTTCCCAACACTACCCTTGCTTTTCTTCTTCAAAATCATATATCCTTTTTTTTTTTTTTTTTTTTTTTGGTAATCGGGTATCCGAGCCAGTCTACACGTATTTCAACTAATCTCTAAGGTCCATTAAACACCCTACACTAATTTTCGGGGTCTTTTGAACACCCTACAAGCTCAAAGAAGGACCAGACAATCCACAATAAATGGTTACAAGATTTGAATTCAATAACTCAAGGAAAATGGAGTAAACCTCTTTGAACGTTAGACCAACCTCTTAAGGTTAAATATTAAATTAGCCCCAGGGTTTGAACTAGGAACTCAAGGAAAGACAGCAAACTTCCTTGACCGACAAGCCAACCTTGGGGTTAAACATTAAATTAGCCTTAAGGCTTGAACCCATAACTCGAGAAAGCACAGCAATCTTGACCGGTTAACCCTTTAGAGTGCGCTTGGTTCAGAGAATGTTGGATTATTGGAAAGTTAGATTACCTTAAAGATTACTGAGAATTTTTAGGAAAATGTGTTTGGTTAATTGGAATAAATTAGTAGGTATGTTTTTTTAATATGCTTGGTTGGGAGGAATAAATTGGTGGGTATGTTATTTAAATTACTGAATTGTCCTTTAATTAAATATTATTTTTTTAATATTGATTATTATAACCCCTTTGCATTTAAAAACTTAGCAAAAACAACCCCATAATAAAAGTTTAGAAAATTAACAGAGCACCCCCACCAACCCAGCCACTGCTAACGGCGCACAAAAGCAGGAAATGACCTTCGTGCTCCGTATGACCATTTTCAGCCAGAGATTTGGCCGGCAATGGCCAGATCGTGATAGATCGGGTAGTTAACAGTCATCGATCTGGTCGTTAACGGTCGATTCGTCAATCTGGTCATCAACGGCCAGATCGATGGCCGTTAACGGTTATAGACGTGGCTGTTAACGGCGATCAATCTGGTTGTCAATAGATAGATTTGTCACGATCTGGCCATTTTCGGCCAGATCTCTGGCCGAAAATGACCATATCAGCACACGACGGCCATTTCCTGCCTTCCATGTGCCTTTTTAGTGGCGGCGACTGCTAGCCGCGGCGGTGACTGCCGACGGCAAACGGCCGCAGGTGGGTGGGGGTGGTGGCTTGGGTGGGCTGTAATTTGTTTTGAATTTAAAGATAATTTTGTCCAAAAGGTTAATTTATTAAGTTGAAATAGTAAAAGCAACATTCATGTAAATAAATTTAAACATAAGGGCATTATTATCCTAAAAATTTATTAATAAGGGATGGAATTGTAACAAAAATAATTATCTTAATAATCTTTATAAAATTAAATGAGAACGCCGTCTGTGGGGATCGAACCCACGACCACGTGGTTAAAAGCCACGCGCTCTACCACTGAGCTAAGACGGCTGGATAAAATCATGTGATATCACCAAAGTGAAAACTCATATAGCTTCCAGTCTTTCCATGCTTGTCCATCTACTACATACTCTGATATCATTGATGGTGTGAAACTCCTTTTGTTCTATAAACAAATTCACAATATGCGGTACCCAGTTTTTTCTATTAAATGTCCCACTTACAATTTACAATTACTCCATTTTCATTTCAAAATTAATTAAAATAAAGAAATTTTGTGGCATTCTCTTTAATAAGAGTGATACTACACTCACAACACTTTTAATTAATTTTCTCTCACAAATGCTACATGTCAATTCATATAGATCCTGTCTGTCCAATAATAGGTCCCGCCTGATCAAACCAATCACAAACTCCCACATGGGATTAGTGAGAGGGGTTTATTAGGTTAATATTATTGCTTTAATAATCCACCCTCACTGCCACAACCCACAACCCATCAATCAATATTCAATATTGAGTGCACCAGATGTTGGAGTCCATATCAGCTTCAACAAAACAAGACTCTCCTGCAAAATTCATGAAACCTAAATCAAGATTATCAAAAACACCTTAATATATGTGCTACAAATATGCATCAATTTTTTTAATCGATCTAAATTTTGCATTTTATTCTACTCCATCTAAATTTCAAGTGCTGTAGTAATAAAATATTCCAGCTGTAGTAATGGCCACAGCTGCTGTAGATATCAAAGGTGGCAGTTCAAATTAGTACATTATAATGCTCATATTCCACAGCTGTAGATACCTCTGCATTTACTTGATTTTTATATTTTCCGTACAACATTTAAGTTCACCAATTGTACAACAAAACTGAAATCGATTGCTAAGTTAAATACTTAGCATGATCTCCCAAAATTGACACGGAAAATGAATCTGGCTGCCGTTGAGAATATAGGGTAAGACAAGCAGAACCATCCGTTCAAAAGACTAAAATGTGCGATCAGACCTGAGGGGTGCACCTTGTTGACCAATAAGTGACATGAATTTTCCATGTACATAAAAAAAAAAATGCAGAGGAAATAATTAAACAACAAAGAGTATTTAAATAAATCCTACAAGATATCGCTAGCAAAATTATTTTTAGCACTCGATTCGAACAGCCCCACTCTCTGATGAAATGAACTTGGGTTTTATAAGAACTTGTTTCATGCACTGGATGATGTCTCCAATCTGGAAATCATTCCAACCCTGGATCACAAGTCCACACTCGTTGCCCTTGTCCACTGTCTCCACATTCTGCTTCTCCCTCTGGAGGGATGTGCAACATCCTTCAAATAAAACTTCCCCACTTCTCAGAAGCCTCATTGTTGAAGATCTGCTGACACAACCATCAAAAACTCGACAGCCAGCAATTTTCACATCGGCAACCTTTGATCTCCTTCCTTTAAGCACAAAGGTAGACACTACCTCAGCCTCCCCAGCAATCTGGGTTTCAAAAGTCCCAGGGGCCTTGTCTACTATCAAATTGCCAATATCCTCCAAAAGGTGATAAATCACTCGGTGCACCATTATCTACATCCAATCAGATACAAATACACTAGAAAATAAATTCCTCAAGTTTTCCAGCTTAAGTTCCTCATCTCAGAATTAAGAAGAGTTCGGACTTAGCAACAGAAATCAAGTACCTTTATACCAGCTCGAGTTGCTTCGTGACTGAGAGAAGTAGGTGGACTCTTTATGTTGAACCCAATTATGCATGCACCACAGGCTTGTCCTAAGTCAACATCAGACTGAGAAATAGGCCCAACACCAACATGGACTACATTCACGAAAACCTGATAGTGAAATTAAGGAATGAGAAAGAGCAACAAGATCAGTAAGAAGAAGCAGCATTAGTTCTTGCACGTGTAAAATGCCAAAGGGTATTTTGAAGTTCGGTGTCTTCCTAAAGGCCCAGGTTTAAGAGTAATGCCAATTGATTAACCCAACAGTGATCATCAATAAAAACAACAGAATTACAACTAGTATTTTGCAAACAAGTGAAAAACGTAAAAACATCAAGTCATTTGTATGAAACAATATTTTATCATACCTGGGGACTATTTAAAGTCTTCAAAGCATCAGTGACAGCTTGAACAGTTCCCTGTACATCTGCTTTCACAATTACTGGTAATTCAGCCCTCTTAGGTGCCTCTTCCGAAGGTTCCAAAATTTCAGTCCTCTTCTCATCAATCTTTCTAAGCCTATCTTTCTCAAATTTCCCTTTCCTCCCCAAACTAAGCATTCTAGCTCTCTCCTCAGAATCCACAACAATTATATCATCACCGGCCATTGGAAGCCCCCTTAGGCCTTCAATCTCAACTGGCATTGCTGGTCTTGCCTGTTCTGTCAACTTCCCTACCGTATCCCTAAGAGCCCTTATTCTGCCCCACTGACAACCCACAACCACAAGCTGCCCACAACACAAAGTCCCTGCCTTTACTATTGCAGTAGCCAATGGACCTCGTCCTTTGTCAAGTCTTGCCTCTACTACATAAGCTTGGGCAGGCCCATCAATTCGTGCTTTTAGATTCATCATTTCAGCCTGAAGAAGCAAAGTCACCTCCAAATCATCCAATCCAGTTTTCTTTAAGGCTGAAATTTCAACCACCTGAACCTTCCCACCTAAGTCCTCCAGCTCCAAGCCCGCTGCACCCAGCTGAGTCTTCACCCTCTCTGGGTCAGCAGCTGGTTTATCACATTTGTTGATTGCAACCACAATTGGTACATTAGCTGCTTTCGCATGGGCCATGGCCTCAAGAGTTTGTGGCATCACTCCATCATCAGCAGCTACAACTAACACAACTATATCTGTGACTGCTGCACCTCTTGCTCGCATTGCACTAAATGCAGCATGACCAGGGGTGTCAAGGAATGTGATAGATGCTCCAGAAGGCATGCCAACAACAAAAGCACCCAGATGCTGAGTTATGCCTCCAGCTTCCTTGGCTGCCACTGATGTTTGACGTAGAGCATCCAAAAGGGAAGTTTTACCATGGTCAACATGACCCATGACTGTTACAACTGGAGGCCGTGGTTGAATATCTGAACCTTCGTTGGCGTGTACCCTTCTTACACTGAAGCCAACTTCCTGCAAAATCGTTCACACTAAGGTTTCTCAATTCAACCAAATTTTATCCTTCAAAATCTACTAGGTTCAAACTATAAAACACATTAAGTAATTATAAACACATCATGACATAAAAGCATATATATTGGATGGATTCTGCCGGCAATCTTTGATGAAACCCATACATAAATTTTGGTGGGAACTAAGTCTTAAGTATGGGTCAAAACACGGTAACCTGATTTATCGAAACTATTTCTTAACCACTAACTAATTTCAATCCCATGGTGTTGAGAGGAAAATTAAAAGTAGTTAATTTTAATGCAGACTCACCAACTCTCAACGCTATTGATTGATATAAATTAATGGCTCAAAAATAGTGTCAACAAATTAAGTTACAATATCCTACTTTCAATCTTCAAATGAAAATTCCTAATAATCGTCATTCTAGTATTAATGTAGTACGAAAAGAATTACACAATTATTTGCATCCAAGAAGAGAGAGAATACCATAGCAACCAGCTCTGCGACATCAATGCTTAGGGGGTCAAACTCTGACTGAACCTTTTCCCCGACATTTATAAGAATATCCTGCAGAGTGGCTATTGACTGACCAGCCTGCTTCGCAAGCTCAATAATTGTCATGCCTTCAAATATATTGATTGGTTTATCTTGCAAAAATTTTGCAGGCTTTTTCGGTTTAGGAGGCACATATGCAGCTTCAACAGGTGGTTTCACATTTGTCCTTTTCTTGAACTTTCCTTTTTTCTCTCTCTTGGTTGTCTTTAGATTACCTGACTCTTCATTTCTTCTTCTAGCCAAGAGTTCTGGGCTTGCATGAAAGCACCTAAATAAGATCATGAAGTAATTATTTAATCTAAACATATAGGGAAAAAAAGACTATTAAATAACAAACGAGTTCTAAGGCAATAAATCTTACTAAACTGTTCTCAAATTCCATGCACGAAAATTCTTACCATCAAATGATGATAATAGTCAAAATTTTAAATTAACAAGTTATTGACCGAAAGAATAATAATTAAGAAAGTCAAGCAGCGGTTTAAGATGTACTATATTAATCCTGTAAGCAAAAGAATAATAGATTGTCAGGAGCCCCTGCACAAGGCTTTTCAACTGAAATTAGGCGAGTTTTCCCCCATTTGCTGTCTTTTATTATTAAGGAAAAAAGAGATTGCAAAAGTCCACTAATTTTAATATTTTATCCTATGAACAAATGGATTCAGCTCAACTAAGCATACCTTCATCATAAAACATAAATCCAATAGGAATTACAATTAATGTTACTTTGCAATAAATCTCTAGGGAAATGACAAAGAAGTTGTAGATGGGCATAGCATTCCCTGGACAAACATACCGTATTGGGTGCTCTTTTGCCAATACTTGACTGTAAGAAGACCTTCGTAACAATGAGCTGAAAGAGAAATCTGCTAAATAAAATTTGAGTTATTAATGCACAAAATCGTAGAAACCAAATTTCCTATCATATGTGAGCATATGCATCAATATTTAAGTTTTTACAATACTAGAAAATTACTGTATATAATTGAAACAAGCTACTATTGTGAAATAAATTTCACACTTAAAGCAAGCTAAATGAGGATAAAGCATATTTTAACAAAATTATAGTTTAAATCCAGAATGAAATGCCCACTAAATCTTTCTTCTTTTCTCAAAATGCAACTCTTTCTCTCTCTTACCGTCTATTCTGTAACAATGGTTTTTTTTTTTTTTTTTTTTGTTCTGCTCTCACTAAATGTTAGATGTGAACTGTATCTTCATATTTATTTAGAATGCCAGATTCTAGGTTTAACCGCACACAAAGCTTTAAATTATTATGTCACTAATTGTTTTATCATTGTTACAATATCTATACATATAGGGTTCTCCAGTGATATCAAATTGCACAACCACACTCAACCAAATTTGATTGAACAAAAACATAAATTGGATACATATTTGTCTATCTGAAAAAACAGTAAGGAACAGATTTTACCTGATATAATTTAGCAGAAGTAGAAACTGACCCCGCCAAAGCTCTGGTACGAGTACCATGAATACTCTACAGAAACAAGTTCCAGATATACAGAGATTTGATTCTCAGTTATGTACAATACTTATAAAATCTGAATCACATTAACCGCAGACCAAAAGAATCAACTTTATAATGAGGAAGCATATTAATAAACCAGAAATTAAAAAAAAAAAAAAAAAATTACCTTTTTAGAAGCTCTCTCCAAGCCATATGTGAAAACCTAGTGAGGGATTTCGGCTTCCATTAATTAGAGTGATGATTTTGATTGAGCAGTTTTTGGGTCCTGTTTCGGTGAATTTTTTGAGTTTGGGAGTGGAAGAGGAAGAAGAGGTTTAGGATTTTTGCCCAACGTGCGAGTCGTCTTGATTAATGGATGGGTCGGGCTACCTTGCCTCTCTATTAACCGACCCGAAAATTTGACCCGGTTTAATTCTTTCCTTCACTTTTGGATTAGGGTACAAACTTTAAAGAATTTTGTATGGATTCGATTAATTTTTTCTTTGGAGTGAATTTTAAAATCAAGTTTAATTTTTTTAAAAAAGACCAAAACCTTTTTTTTTTATAAAAGAAATAAAAAGAAATTAGCAAATGTAAAAATTAAGAAATAAAGAAAGTTTTAATACTTATTTTGATAATTTTTTAATTTTTTAATTTTGTAAACTATTTAATTATGTATTTACCTTCATAAAAAGTTAAATCTAACTCTAATTAACTTTTCATTATACTTTAATTAAACCATTTGTAACTTTTGTTTACTCGTTACAAAAATCTGAAAAGTTTGTATCCCAATTCATTATATTTCTATTTGCTAAAATCAAAGAAAATGGATTAGGATGGTTATTGATTATAGGTTTTACTAAATAATAAAAAAAAAAAATTGATTAAATGTTAATAAAAATAATCTTTAATGAATGCTATTCATGCAAATTAAACTAATTTAGAAACCCAATCTTGAAGTTGGACATGATTTTATTGGGCCAACCCAATCAAAGAAAATGGATCTGGGCTGGGTAAGTTGGATTTTTATTTGCCTTCTATACTTGTAAAAATTAAAGCTTGAAGATGTAAGTAGAAATTAGAAAATTGATAGTACATCAGGGTGGTTAGTCCATCAGTTTGCAACTAGGCTAAGTAGTTTTAATTAAGAATGTAATGGTATTTGAAATCTTCAACTAACCCCTTAAAACATTATTTGACAATCAACTTTAGGTAAGATATATATTAATTAGCTAATCATAATTAAATCTGTTAATTAGCAGGAAACCAACCACAGTTACTTATATTATCAACCTTTCAATTCTACCCAATAACATATTATTTTTCAAAACTAATTTACATTATTATTTATATAAAAATTGGCATCCAATACCAGACACCAAATGAAAAATACTCTCTACCCATGGAGGACTCCATATATGATTTGTCCAATACTGTATAGAAATATATGATTAATATTTCTATTTAAAAATAAAAATATATTATTTAGATTGACTTGATCAAGAGATAGGAAGTGTTGTAGTTGGTGGTCAAGACATCAAGAAAGACTTTGAAAAAGTATTGCCCAAGTGGAAGTGGGAGAATTTGGTCTTTCTCCTCATCACTAATGTTTCCATTTTGGCTTTTATTATGTGACCTTAAACTTATACCACTTTTGCCCTACATTATTACATTTTGCCTTTTCCTAATCCTACCTGCATTGACTGTAACAACAATGTTTTATTAATATCTCATTATGTATAATAAATTTAAAAAAAAAAAATAGTTTTATTTTAAATTTTCATAATATGTATAATAAATATTACCACTTTAATATTTATTGATAATAATATTGTTCCATATAATTATAATTTTCTTTGACGTTGTTTAAAAGTGATATAATAACATTATTGTTAATATTCTTAAATATACATCCATTGCAATTTAACAATAAAAAATGTTAAAATAAAAGAAAAAAATATTTATTGTGATTATGACAATAAATTTGAGAAACAAATATTTCCTTTTAAATATTTATATACACAAAGAGTGGACAAAGTCTAAGAATTTAATAACCGACTTAGTATAAAATTTAATTGTCATTTCAATGTAATTATTAATTAAAGATTAATAAAAAATAGTTGTGAATTCAGAATTGTGATGGGGAAATAAAAGTAGGGAGAGCGGCGAGAAAGGTTGGTAGAAAATACATGGCAACCAACAACACTAGGTTGATTAGTCAATGTTTAATAATTTCTATTGTTCTCTAATAATTCAAACTCTGGTAACCCAGAAACCGTGTGCTCATCCCCATTTTTAAGTTATTATATCCTAAATTCTATGAAACATTATAAACTTTGTAAATAATTTTATAAAATATGAAAACAATTTTATATTACTATTCTATATCATATCCTATCTTGAATTATTGATATCAAATCCATATATGGAACCTAGCTAGGCGGTAGATAATAAAATAAAAATTAGGGCGAACGACATGTACATACCCAAAGTTTACTGTAATGACAAGTTGATACCCAAAAGGTTTTGAAACGACAAATAGGTACCTTCTGTCATATTCTGTTAGTGAGTTTTGTTTATTAATAGTGAAAAGACTAAAATGCCCTTCAAAGTTTCAATTTTTGTTTTTTATAAATTTAAAAATTTCTAAAAAACCCCCTAGGTTTGCTAATTTAATTAAACACCCCCATATATAAAAAGTTTGTTAAATGACAAAAACACCCCCACCACCCCAATGCCAGATTCCGGCCACCATCGCCGGAATCTGGCCGGAAAACTGCATTACGACACAGATCCCCATCGGATCTGTGTCGTTAAAGTGCCGATGTGGCCTTTTCAGCCAGATCTGGCCGTCAAGCAGCCAGCCAGATCTGGCCTTTTCCGGCCAGACCGTGGCTGATCTGGCCGGAAAAGGCCAATCTACTTCCAGATCTGGCCGTCGACTTCGCAGATGGAGTTTTGCGGCGTCGACGGCCAGTCTAGCCGTAGCTGGCCTTTTCCGGCCAATCAGCCACGATCTGGCCGAAAGGCCAGATCGACGCGTTACGACACAATCCACGGGTCTGTGTCGTAACGCAACTTTCCGGCCAGTTTCCGGCGGTGGTGGCCGGAATCTCGCACTTGCCGGTGGGGGTGTTTTTGTTATTTTATAAAACTTTTATATATTGGGGTATTTGTGAATTTTGTAAACTTGGGGTTTTTTGAAATTTTTAAATTTATAAAAAACTAAAATTCAAACTTTAGGGTATTTAGTCTTTTCACTATTAATAAACAGTAATAAACAGAAATCACTAACAGAACTGACGGAAAGTACCTATTTGTCATTTCAAAACCTTTTGGGTACCAACTTATCGTTACGATAATCTGGGTAGTATAAGTCGTTCTCCCTAAAATTATTAAGTTTAATATTGAGATGATATATACTATTATTAGTGCACTCAAAAACTCATTGATAAAAGGAGTTGTATGAGCTCTTGACATGATATATACTAGTCAAATCCTTATATAAATCTCATAAATACTGTTTTAGTTGTTAGTGTCAAAATTATAAGTAATTAAAGAAATATAGTATTGAATATAGCAATTTCTATGACGACAACCAGTACGCCAACATTACCAATTACTAGTGTCAAAATGTCAAACCTAAGAAGAAGTATAATATTCATATATACAAACTTGATAATTATTATATTAGTTTTTCATTTATCTAAATAAAATGTTATTTATTAGACTGTCATACATGATGTAGTTTCATGAATGTAACTTAGTGGAGAGAGCCAACAACTACTTTTTTTTTTTTTTTGGTTAACTCTTCTTCATTAAAAATAAATCCTAAATAATAGATCCTAAACTACGTTTTTCTATAATGTAATACCATAAAAACTTAGGAAAACTCATAATATACTAACGTAAGATTGAAAAGTATCAACCATCCTTGGGTGACCAAATGATTGAATAGAAACTCTTGAGTTATTGCCCAAGAGGTTCGGAATTCGATTTATCTCAGTTATTAATAGAGATGGTCACTGAAAATTTATCTGACCGTTAACTTTATAGCCCCAAAGATTAATTAAGTTATACGCAAACTGATTCTAATACCTTAATAAAAATGTGTCAAGGAGGAGGGCAAAAGAAAAGTGAAGGACAAATGCCAACGATATACGTCATAAAAAAGTGAGAGGATCGTCATTTGATTTCATTTGAATTGTGGTAGCTTTCAACCACTAAACATTTTTCTTAATTCTCTACCTACCACACACACACACACACACACACACACACACTATTCTTCAGAAGTTCTTCTCTTTTATCTTTTTCTCTTTTCTCCTTTCCTTACCAAACCCTTCCTTCACCATCCCCTTCTTTTCTTATTATTCTAATCATCATTTTCATTTTCATTTTAATTCTATTTCTATTTCTATTATTGTTTTTTTTTTTTTTTTTAATCTATCGGACCCACGTCGTTTCAATTCTATTATATATTATTAGTATTAAAACATCCCACTACATTAAGGCCCTTTCATATCTCACCATCAACATTTCACATCCTATTAGACTTTTTTTCATAAATACATCTGTGTCAATTTTTTATTTTTCTTAGAAACTTAAGATATTTTTTATTATTTTTACTGATGTTTTGTTTTTTTTATATTCGAGGTGTTCAAACCAACTTATGTACACCTCAGTTAATCTCCGAGACTTATTGAACATCATACAAATTTAATATTCTAAGTAAACCATAAATGTGGTAGGTGGTTTAAACATAAAAAGTCAATTAAATAAGCAAATCTTATTGCCTACTAGACCAATCCCTTGGAGTTCTCATGTTGTGTTCACTTTTCAATTTCCACTAAATGGAAATGACTTCACTTTTATTTGGTTGTTTGATGATGGATTTCAGCAGGAAATACAAAATCTTCCAAATTAAGCTTTTGACTTGTTGAGATTAAATTTTTAACTTGTCTCATTCACTTGGTTGGTGAGAATGTTTTAAATATTCAGTAATTGGGCACCGCCCTATTTCTCCTCTAATATATTATCAATTTGTGCATCAATTTGCACTCTTTTTAGCTCTAACTCAATTAAAGAACACTAAGTCATCTTAATTAACATAACTACTAAAGTGGAGTTTAAATTAATTTTATCTCATTTAATGATATTACTTTTTTTTTTTTTTGATAATGGGGTGTCTGAATCACCTTAGCTAATCATCGATGTTCAATGAATACCCTACAAACCCAAAAGACTAGGTAAGACACAGAGGGTGTTTGTCTGAGCTTATGAAAATTAGCTTATAAGCAACAAGTGCTTATAAGTTAAAATTAGCTTATAAGCATTTGAAATTTTAAGCAATTACATGTTTGGTTAAAGTACTTATAAGTGACTGATAAGTAGTTGACGTGTTTGGTAAAATGTGGCTTATAAGTACATTTTATTATAAAATGACTATAAAAGGTACTATATTAAATAAGGGTATACTATGGAATTTTAAAATTAAACAAGGATAATGTGGTAATATGCTTGGTCAAACTAACTTATAAGCAGAAAAAAAAAAAAGTACCTCCCCCCCAACTTATTTTTTTTGGCTTATAAGCTCAAAAAAGTTATAAACAAACATGTCAGCTTAATTTTGGAGCTTATAAACTAGTTTGACCAGCTTATAAGCTTAGACAAACACCCCCACAATGTTATTGTGGTAGGTGACCCTAATGTTTGAACCCAAGAATTTAAGGAAGAGAGCAAACCTTCTTGACCGCCAAACTAACCCTTTGGGGTTATTTAATGATATTATTTTCCCAAACTGGTATTTTACCAATGTCTAAATGTTTAATTATCAAAGTGTAAATGATACTTAAATCTCCTAATTACTGAATTTGCTAGCTAATGAAAGTGCCACGTTTTGTATATAAGAAGCACAAGCAATGGTAATCAATAATGAAAGGTCATGGAAATGAATTTGGTTCCCCTGGCGTTTTCTAGAGTGTTGCAGGATCATGATTTAACTAGCAGTGTCCCAACAAGAAGGAATAATTAAAGGTTTTTTATAGGTTGAGGGAGCCCTACTTGTACAAATAAACTTAAAAGGATGCAATCAAGGTCAATAAAATTTAGCTTTCAAACATTTGACAAAATTGAAATTGAATATAAAGGTTGATGATCTCACCTCTAAGCTCAGTCCTTGTGCAAAAGGCTTCTGAATCAACTCTGGCAATCGGCAAATAGAAGAAGAATGTAGTTGAAAACAGAGTATTAGGTGTAATGTCGTAAGTTTTGAGTAATTCTTTGCTCTCTGCTTTCAACGTATAGATTGGAGAATTCTCACCTAAATTTGGCACCCAATATTTTATGAGAGCAGCAAAAATTTTTGGTATCTTCAATGAATGGCATAATTTCAATTTGATGCAATAAAAGATAGAAGACCAATGAAGCTAGGAAATTTGGGAGCGAAACAGTCAATAAAATGGAAATAACTAGATAGTAGAGAAGTGTATACAATCAATTAATGGCCCCAAAACGTGATTTTCTTCTAAAAATTATCTGTGGGTGACATTAACCTAATTACATTCTACAATTGGAGACAAAAAAAACACACTCATTGGGCTAGGCATAGAATCTAGTTGGTTGGTGAAGAAATGGTGTTTGTAATTTAGATTTCAACTTTCTATTTTCTATCAAGTAGCCAAATAAATAAAGTTTATGGGGATATTTAATTCTGAAGATAACAGCACCAAAAAATTTGTTTAAACGTAACATCACAATAAAAGAAACTATTGAATATTTTAACCAAAAATAAGATTTAAAAAAAAAAAAAAACAGTTACAATAAGCTAATAATCTCATCTTTCTTCTTCCTTTCTTGAAGGTTTCTGAAGCATATAACATACAACAGTTGAGTGTGAAATGTGTATAACATTCTTACACGTAACAACTGGATTCCCATTAACTACACATAAAAATTATATTTACCCAGCAAGAAATTCCCATTATCAATCAAAATTAAAAAAAAAAATTAAATAAATAAAAAAAGAAGGAAAAATTGAAATTTAATTTTCCTTTCTTTGTGCAAATAATAACATCTTTAAACATTTCGTTTCTGAGGGCGGCCTTAATTATTAATCGCCCCTAGATGGGCACCATGGGGTCATGTCCATTGGATAACTCCCCAACACCCTCAAGAACGACGTGAACTCCTGAACCTCAGCCAACGCGTTCTGTGCTCTAACCTCAGCCATCGACGCCTCAAAATCGACATAAAACATGTACTCGAAATGCTTCGCCGTTCCTACATTCGCGTCATCCACCAACCTGATCGGATGGTTCCTGTGCGGCCTTGATTCAATCTTCGTCAAACTTATGTTCCTGAAAGCGAACGCCGACAACACCTTGAATAATACGCTTGTTCCCTTATCATGCGCGAACACGATGCTTGTCTTGAATGGCCGATCAGTACGTGGAATGATTGGCTCACGTGCCAACATCACGAACCTCGTTACGTTACTCGAATCATCTTGAATGCCGTCGGCAAGAACTTGTAATCCGTACAGATCCGCGGCGCGTGCGGAGGCAATTGCAGCGGTGTCGCGGAGATTGTTGGCCGCTATGTATTCGGCCGCGCCGGCAGTATCGTCCACGGCCTCGCGTGCGACATTGAGTCCGAGTTTGGTGAGAGTGTGCTCACACTGAGCGAGTGCTTGAGGATGAGAGATGACTCGCGTGAGATACTCCTTTCTCACACCAGGTAAAGCCAAGAGACAATGATGAACCGGAAGCTGGACTTCGCCGACAATATGCAACCGGTGGCGGAGAAGGAGGTCGTAGTTACGGTGGATAGATCCGCCTAAGGAGTTTTCGACAGGTAAAACGGCTCGGTCGGCGATCCAAAGCTCGACGGCTTGAAACGCGACTTCGAACTGGTCACAAGGAATGGCTTCACAGTTAGGATAAGCTTTACCAGCGGCGGCTTCGGAGTATGCGCCTGGGACGCCTTGGTAGGCGACTCTAAGCTGAGAACCGTGCATCGGCGCCGGAGAGAGGTCGGTGATAGTGAGAGGCTTTTGAGGCGGCAGTTGTTGAGGAGGTTGGCTGTTGTTATGATTGATAGGGACCAAGTTGAGGTCAACGGAAGTCTTGTGGCCGTTGACAGCAGCGACATGATCGGCAGATTTGCCGATGGGTCCCTCTTGAGAAACAACTTTACTGGAGAGAATAGCACAGGAGCTTTGCCAGTCAGCACGGCTTAAACCGACGGCGTTAGGGAAGTTAACGGAATCGGATCTGTAAATACAACTGACCCGGGAGAATTGACGGGTCCGGGGAAGGGAAAGTGGGTTGTTGAGATGGTGGGAAGGAGGAGTGAGAGTCTGCATAATGGATTGAATAGTAGTAATTATATTAAAAATGAGAAAAAAAGAAAAGGAAAAAGTGAGGGGAAGAGAGAGAGAGAGGGAGCAGTTGAGTTAGCTTGGTGTTCTCTTGTAGAAGGGAACGTCAAGCTGAGAGAAAAGGAGGAGATGAAAGGGGTTTATATATTAAGAGAGAGGAGTAGACAAGTCTTTGGGAGGATGGTATGTGTGCGAAGGTGGTGGTTCGGTCAATCTCACACCTACCCCCTACCTCTCCATCTCTACGCTCTTTCCTTTTTATTATTAATTATTATATACATATATGACGTCGTTTAAAGCTTTTTAACCTTAAGATTCATTCAACTTAATTACTTAAGAGTTTATTTGAGTTTATGAAAATGGATAGTATTTAAGAAATTTTTGTTAATTATTTATTTAGAAAATATAAAAGAATTTTCTAGAATTAATTTATCAAAAATGATTTTAATAAACAAAAATAGATTAAGTCTAATTTATAAAAAGAGTGATGTTATTGGCTCCCTTATTTTTGAATAAACTTAGTGAAAAGTATGATGTTTAAGATTTTTCTTTGGTATTAGTAGTTAAGGGTTTTTCTTGTGGGTATCTTCTTACAAATTGTCTTTAATTTGGTGGCATCATTTTTGTTTCACACTTGTAACAACCACCCACGCGTGTTGATGTCAAAGGCTAAAACAAAACAAATTTAAGGTTGGTAATTTTAATAAGAGTAATGCTAGCCAATAATACATTTTCACAATTTTCTCTTACAACTTTAATGTGTTAACAGATTAGCACTATCATGTCAGTTGCCACCACATTCAAAGCACTACGAGAAATAAACAGTTGTTCTTTTAGAATGAACGATCATCCCTTATGAAGGAACAACTGTTCCTTAAGGAACAACGTTGTTTTTTTTCCTTCATAAGGAATGGTCATCCCGGTCATTCCTTCATAAGGAACGACTCCCTATGAACAAATAGTCGTTTCTTTGGCCTAATCAAAATCATTTTGTGTCTTGGGTGTGGTGAACTTACCGCGACAGTGTCAAATCAACTGTTACGTCAGTGTTGTAAGAGAGGTTTGTGAGAATATGTTGTTGGCGTAGCATTACTCTTTTAATACCAGTCTAAACTTTTTATGTTTAAGTCAATAAAGAAGATTACGAGATATATAAACACGGTTAACATAGTAATTTAACTTTTTTATATTGAGAAGTGACTAATTAAGTTGATACAATAGTATTGATTTCATTGAAATTGAAGTTGTTAATTAGAGTAAACAATTTTTTCCCATTCAAATAATAGTTTAATGACACTTTGTCACTAACGAACTTTTAAAATATCACTTTACTATCTAAATTTATATTTCGTTTCCGATTCTTATATCTTTGCGACCTTATATCACTATTATTTTCTTTCTCGATCATCACTTACAAAGAACCCTCAAACCCTACTCCCGTCAATCCCGCTAATTATCGACAATCGAGCGATTATGATTTTTGTAGTCATCCTTCCCAAGTCAAATTCCAATCAATCACAACCACCAAAATCTAATTTTTCATCACCAAAAGACTAATCAATCTTTTCTCTTTAAAAGCTTCAACAACCTGAACCGAGTTTACTCTTTATCTACTATCTGAATATAAATTTAGATAATAAAATAGTATTTTAAAAATTTTTAGGTGAAAAAGTGACATTAAATCATTATTTGGGTAGGAAAAAAATCTTTAACTCGGTTAACTATCATAGATGCATGTGATGATTCCAATTTTGTATAAAAATTCGTAGATTTTATCTCCAATCATACTTTGCTCACGTTTAAAAGTTCCTAATACTTTATACAACCTGCGCTATTTTGGCGTATTGCACTCAGATTCTTCAATTTTATATCCCTAAGGTAAATCAACTTCAATTAACATAAAATAAGTTATATTTATTTTGTTTTTCTTCAAAAAAGAGATGATGAGGCCCCAAACACAACGCGACCATTTTCTCAATGGTTGGCACCCATAAGAATGAGCCACTTGGCACGTTCCATTCCAATCAAATCAAAAGCACGATTTGGCCCATTCCCTTTATTATAATTGTTTTTATGGCCAAGCAACTTACCCATACCTAAGATTTGTCAAAACGATAAGTTGATATTCAAAAAGTTTTGAAACAATAAATAGGTACCTTCCGTCATATTCTGTTAGTGATTTTCGTTTGATAATAGTAAAAAGACTAAAATGCCCTTGAAAGTTTAATATTTTAGTTTTTTATAAATTTAAAAATTTCTAAAAAACCCCCTAGGTTTGCTAATTTCTAAATACCCCAATATATAAAAATTTTATAAAATAACAAAAACACCCCCACCACCTGCAGTGCCAGATTCCGGCTACCACCGTCGGAATCTGACCGAAAAATTGCGTTACGACACAGACCCGTTGGATCTGTGTCGTAACGAGTAGATCTGGCATTTTTCGGCAATATATGTGGCTGATCTGGCTGGAAAAGGCGATGGCCAGATCTGGCCGAAAAATTGTGTTATGACACAGACCCGTCGGATCTGTGTCGTAACACGATGATCTAGCATTTTTCGGCCAGATCTAGGCTAGATTTGGCTGTCGAGGCTGAAAAAGGCCAGACGTAGAACTGGCCTTTTCTAGCCAGATCCGTGGCGGATCTGGCCGGAAAATGCCAAATCAACGTGTTACGACACAGATCCGACAGGTCTGTGTTGTAACACAATTTTTCGGCCAGATTCCGGCGGTAGTGGCCGGAATCTGGCACTGCGGGTGGCGGGGGTGTTTTTGTTATTTTATAAAAATTTTATATATTGGGGTATTTAGTCAAATTAGCAAACCTAGGGGGCTTTTTAGAAATTTTTAAATTTATAAAAAGCTAAAATATTAAACTTTCAAGGGCATTCTAGTCTTTTCACTATTATCAAACGAAAATCACTAACCGAACATGACAGAAGGTACCTATTTGTCGTTTCAAAATTTTTTAGATACCAACTTGTCATTTAGGCAAACCTTGGGTATGTTCTGCCTTGTTTTTATTTATTTCTTAGCTCTCAATTATTATGGCAAATAATTTATTTTGTGAGGTCCACTTTCCAATTTTTGTTTATCATTGTGATTTGTACTATAATCATTGTCACATTTACATCTCTTAACATAATGAAAATTATTTGCGTAATCATCTTTATCTAATAACACTTAATTTTGAATTTCATTTACCTTTTTTAGGATGAATTTCGGAATACTTCTCAGTTCTCAGATCTTTGGCTTTTTTTTTCCTCTGCTTCAATAAAAAAAACTATAATCGGCAGATTAATTATTCTATAACAACATTATAAATATTAATTTCGCAAATATCTAGTTGCAACTAATATTTTTTCATTTAAATTGTTAACGTATATTTGTTTTGTTTGTTTAATTGCTTTGGTGGACCATAGATGGTGATATTTTTGTTGTGTTTATGTCAAAATTATGTATACAATATATAAGTTTAATTTAATCAAACTATAGATCCCAGTTATGAGCATACAAAGGAAATATAGATACGAAAAAACGAAGACGTTTAATTTGGAAATTAACCCACAAATTTTGAGTGATATTATCATAATAAGTAAGGTTAATTAATAAACCTGTGGCTCACAAAACAGTTGGCCTATAATTAAATCTTATACTCAACTTAATCTAAATTAATGGGTGATTTTCTTTAAATAAGACTTAACTTACTTTTTGTTTACACAAATTTGTACCCTCCTTTAAGGGTGTATTTTGATTTTTATATTTCGTAAAAGCACTTCTTTACTTAATTCATTCAAAAAGTATAAAATTTAAAAAAAAAAAAAAGCTCATTTTCAAAAAATTTAAAATAATTTTGGTTCATCTAAACATTTTCTTGTCAATATTTTATTTAAAAACACATCAAATAGATTAAACAAAACAAATATATATATATAATTCTCACAAGAAATTCTCGAAATCTGTGTATTTTTATATTTATTTTGTATTGGGTTGGTTATATAGAAATAGAAAAGTTATATTTATGTTATATATGTGTATTTTGGTGATTCAGTATGTGGTTTTAAGTTTGTACTGATTTGTGTGGGTTCGATAAATTGTGTTAAGTACATTGGTTAGACAAAACTTATAATTGAAATCATATTTTCCTAGGAAACAAACAGGAGGTGGGCGGTTATAATATAATAATTTTTGCATGCAAATAAGTTTGGTGGAAAAAAGCCAAGAAAAATGTTATGGGAAAACAGAAGAGAGGTTTATTGTTGTTTGTTTCCATGGAAAAATGTGTGATACCAACAAGAGAATGGGAATTGGGAACGTGAAAAATGATGATAATGTTAGCCTAAATATGTGGAGGACGATGTTTCTTATAATATAACCAACCTCGACTATATATTAAAAATTAACTATCTTATTTCTCGGATAAATTCGATAATATATTTTTGTCCTTTGCTTTTATTCTATGAAACCTCACAATTTCAAAAGAATAGCGATTGAATGAGTTCATGTTCATTCAACAGAAATAATTAATTGATGTGGTATATATAATAGCGTAAATACCAAACAAAAATATTACTCAAATTTATACATTAATTTATATTCATTAATATATAGTAGGACCTCTCTACAATGACATTCTATATAGGAATAACTGCCATATAGTCATAAAAACTTTCGGTTCCAACTTAGGTCAGTTATAAATAAAAATTAATTTCATATTGTAATAAGTTATAATTTTTCTAGGTCCTATCTTGAGAACATAGTAATAATTATATACATATTACAAAAAACATATACTATTTTATCTAAAATGTTTAAATTGAAATAAAATATTTATCTAAAGTTGTCTGAGATAATGATTTATGTCTTAGAGTTGTTACCATATCATTTATCTTGCGAGTATATAATAAGCCACCAGCATGGACACTTTCTTGTTGAAGCCCAAATATTTTTAGCTCTCAAGCATGTTTAGAGCTTCTTGTCATGAAATTTTTGGTATTTATGTACTATCATACTCAAGATTATCTCATTCCTCTTCTTGTCTAGTTCTAGTAATGATTTCTTTTTCAGTTAAAACATATACGACTTGTTGCTCATTTGGATTACTGAGGAAGACATTAATATC